GTAAATGGCAATAGAAACCAGGTTTTATAGCCTTGGATGGGAACTGGTCTACCGCAAAAGAAATGTCAACCTACGGCGGTAAAAATCGAAAGATACATGATCGCCTAAGCGTGTATCACGAATGGCACTTAACTGACTGGCCTTTGCCAATTGTCTTTTGAAGAAAAGTAAACACTTGTAGCTGTCGTGAAGAAATCTAAAATTGTATATAATAAGAAATTAGTGCGATCGAAACGTAAAATACACTGAGGTATTAAGAAGAAATGTTGGGTTCCTGACACACCGTAGAAAAGATATCTTGCAATAAGTGTTTACTGTTTATACTTCATCTTTAGTACAGCTCAGTGTCAAACGATATGCGAAGAAAAAAATTAGACATTTAAAAAAAAAAACACATTATAAACAAACTTTGTTAGATTTAAAATGTTTTGCTGTAAATGTTGGTTATAGAATTGTTTTTTTTAATTCTCATTAAATAATTTGCTACATATTTACATAACTATGCATAGATTAAAATACATTCTAGTTGAACCCAATATCTTCCACAGACTTTTTCAAGCCCTTCGCTAATACAAACACCGCGCTTATTAGATTTTTTAAAAAAAAACTCCCAATCATTCCTATCCCACCTTTCATTTAAGATCCAAGCTCATCTCCCGTGGATAACGCGGCACTATTGTAATCACATTTTAGATAATAAATACCATATGATCTTGTATTCATATACACTTAGACGTTATAGGGCAATAACGAATATTCAGTTCGTCACATAACATTTATTCCAGTTGTTATAATTGTTCTATTTTATAATTCGTTATTGTCGTTAATCTCTTATTGTGCCTGTCTTTTACGTCCAAATAAGGCTTTTTCTAAACTGTGAACATCATCCGACTATAAAGCCGTATATCTCGTGTGATTTCGATATTCGCCGTAATTTGAAAAAAAAAAATACTGGAGTAAGAAAATAAAATCTATTGTTATGCGAAGAGAAATCCACATGAATTCAAGGAGAAGCGATATCGTTGAAATGGCGTTCTATATGTAGCGATCAATTTATAAAAGCAGCAAGATGGCGAAAGATACCGAGGAATGCTGGGAATGTTGCACAAATACTTTGTCTGATATACTGTGAGCCGAAATCGAATGCATTTTATCTAAGTATTTGCACAATCATCGATCGATTAAATCATTTGCTGTCTGTGTGTTTCTAGTGATGTGTCGTTCGTTAGGCTTAAATACATGTGTACTTAATCTATATGTTGTTGATTAATATTCTTCAGTTCTTTCACGGTAAGCCATTTTCAGCAGGAAGTCTTTCTTCGAGTGATTTTTTAA